TTTTCTTTTTTTTTTTTTTTTAGTCTCTTCTCCTTTTTTCCAGTCGCTTTCTCTTCTCCAGCTCTTCCTCTTCTGGAGTATTTATGTCTGATTTTAGGAGCCCGTAAATGTTGAACTTGATGGGTGTTTTAAACGCCACCGCCGCCAATGTCTCCTGTACTTGTAACTGCAAGCGCTACACCTCCCTCCAGAGCATGGAAATCAGTGAGTACTATTCATAAACTATACTTTATATCTTTCTTTCTGGGTGTTTTGTCTGCTCTGTTACACCTCCTCGCAGTGACAGACAGGAGGACATCATGTTATAAGTTTGTGGAGTTCACTATTTGGCACATTAGGAGATGTCGTTTGTGTTTCATTTATATGCATCTGCTTTTTCTTTCTTTTATTAACCACTCAAAACGCGCTCACTCTTTCATTTTGACTGTCTGCTTTTACGTTTGTAACATTACAGCCTCTGGGTTTTTCCCACCGAGACTGTAGCAACTCTTTATGTCTTCATTAACAAGACGTGAAGTTTTTCTCCACCACCGTTGAACTCTTTAACCCGTTTCTGACTAATAACGCTTGATTTTGAACTTGAACCAAAAAACCGCAAGCTTCCTGTCTCTTTCCCCACAGAGCCGAATTGAATAAGCCTCCCGTTTTGCTCCATTTCTGTTATTTTCAGGCTTTTAAAATGTCTTTTGTCCGGTATGAAAGCTAGGTTTGGACAGATATTGTAGTTTTTTCGGTGGGGTTCCGGAGCCTTGTGTCTGTCTTTGATCTGTAACGTTCAGCTGGCTTCATTTGAAAAATCTGCCTTTACGCTGGGCTGAAGGAGGGAGGAAGGGAGGGAGAGGGGGGCTTTAACGGTAGAAAATACCACCTTAAATGTGTTCAAACTACCAGGAAGTGACCGTAGAGACACGGAGAGCTGGATAATGGATGAGAAAAAGGTGGGTTTGTTCGGTGTAAAAAGGGGCGAGTTGGAAGTTTTGTCGCCGCTTCGTCATCCGAGCAAAAAACCCAGACGTCTGTCTAGCCGTCTGCCTGCGTGCGCGCCTGTGTGTGTGGTCGTATCCGGGAAATCCCTGTGTGTGTGTGTGTGTGTTTACATATATGAGTGTGTTGTTTGTTGAAGCCATTCACAAAACCTTCATTAGGTTAGGGGTTCTAGTCCCACTGGGTAATGTATATACAGTCATAATAGGCTACTGAAAGGTCATTTAGATGAAAGCTGAGTGTGTGTGTGTGTGTGTGTGTGTCAACAGGGCTGACTCAGACACACTCAGCTGAAGCAGGAACGATTCATCAGTTTGGATAAGAGGATGTGTCAGGAAATGGTCAAGAAGAGCCAATGCAGCTTCCCAACTGTGACATATTATATCATTTTGTGCTGCTCGTAAAGGTCCAGCCTGTAACATTTAGGAGTATGGACTATGATATTAGGATTTCATTAGTGTATCATCACCTGAATATGTGAGCTGTTGTGTTGTTGTTACCTCAGAATGAGTTGTTTATATGTCCGTGGAGTCCGTCATGTCGAACCGCCAGAACGGGCAAACCAAACACTAGAAAGGGACAATTGCGTTTTTTTTTTACGTTTCACAGCCACCATAGTTTCTCTTTTTGCTCTTAGACGGGGAGGGTGAATAGAGGAAGTAGACCCCACTGGATCCTTCACACTGGAGCTTTAAATTGTTTGTCAGGCAAAACATTACATTACATTTTATAGACCAAACAAATAATCAGTTAATCCTGTAAGTGATAGAAAAAACACCTAATAATTGAATGGGAAGCAAGCATTTATCCTCACAAAGCCAGACCAGAATGCGTGCGCTCAGTTCACACGACACGGTTCAAGCCTGGAAAGCACGCGCGGAGATGAATTCAGCCTCGAAAAGCCCAAACCTTGTGAAAAACAATTAGTTACAGACTTAAAAAGAAGCATGATTCAATGACTCCATGGCGCCCCTTTTTTTTTCCACCTTAGATTTATTTAGAAACTGATTTTCTTGGATGGTTGATGACAGGCATGTTATGACTTTCCATTTTTAAATTTGGAAGCAAAGATTATTGAGAAGCCAGTGACTAATGCATTTGCCTATTCATGTGTAGGAAGGGTTCACGCTGGTGTCATCAGCCATGCAGCCTACTTGAAATGTCATTTGTCCTGAACAGATGCTTATTGAGCCTCGCCAGACCAGTTTAAACACCAGTGATACTATTATACACGATAGTCTACACATATTCAGTTGCAGTGTTGGTGAAGGTGTTGTAGAGGCAGTATTTGTAGCAGTAATAGTTGGAATAAGAGCGTTAAGAGGAACAGAAGTTCAGCAGCTGAACTAATACCAGTACCAGCATTAGTAGCAGTGCTAATACGTTAGTCAGGAGAACTGCTGCAGTAGTAATAACGACACATTACATGGCCAAAAGTATGTGGACATGACATAACAACATTACACCCATCAGGGAGGCTGGAAGTCAGTCAGAGTTGGGGGTGCTGAGAGAAAACCTCTCTATATAACGACGTCGTAATGAATGCTAAATGCATGAAATTCATGGGTTTTGCATTAATCTGAGGATATTTTATAGCCTATTTAATAGTTATTAACAACATTTTACACATATTCTATACGTTTTTAGCCGATAAAACTGATTAAAAAAACAAGACAAAACGAGACATTGAGATAATGGTGCTGCAGCCCCCTCAGCACCTCCACGTCCAACGCCCATACGTAAAGACAGAACAGGTCCGGCCAAAGCCATGGACATTAGGCTGCTGCAGTCACATTTGCAGTTTATCCCAAAGGTGCTCGATGTGAAAGTCAGGGTCAAGTTCTTTCACACCAAACTGGAAAAAAACCCCGTCTGTATTGACTTTGGGCCATTGTCATGTGGAAACAGGAAGGGGCGTCACTAAACTGTAGCCACAAAGTTCAGAGCACACCGTTATCTGATGTACAGAATGCTACAGCATTACGGTTTAAGGGCCGACCAAATGTACACTAAAGTGTGCCCACATAGATCTTAACAGTTGTAATCATAATAGTTGTAGCAGTAAGAAATAGCAATCAGTCAGTGAAACCAGATCATTGCCTGGACTTGTAACAGAAAGACAAGATAAGCGTGCAGGCAGGGACACACACACACACACACAGACACACACACACAGTTCTTCTGTCTGAGATATGATGTTTAGTCTGCAGACAGAGGGAGCGAAACCAAAGGAGGAGAGAGAAAGACTACAGAGACGGAGGAGAACGAACGGCAGCGAGAAGAATTTACCGAAACTTTAGAAAAAAGGAACAAGAAGTCAGAGAGAGAAGAGAAAATAAGCAAGAAGAAGAGAAACATTCTGGTGAACTGAAAATTGTCTCATAGAAACTAAGTTTGGAACCTGAAACTAATGATGCTCTGGCCTTTATTTAAAAAATCAGATTATGTTTAAGGCGTGTCAGCTGTACTGGACATAATGCATCAGAGCGTGACAGGGAAGATGAAAGACGCAGTGGAAGAAAGTATAACAGAGGATAATCCACGTTATACACTTGAGATGTGGTGATCAAAGGACGATGCAGGCATGATAGAAAAAAAAAGGGGGGGGGGGTTTCCCTAAATTTGTACTTCAGAAGACCTTAAAAATAGTCATATCTTGGGGAAAAAGCTCTCATTTTAAATGAAATTCACCCAAACAAATAAGGATTAATCCGTGCAGACAGTTTTTTAGTTGTATGTCATCAGGTTTTGACCACAATCCAAAACTCAACTTGTCTCTTAAGATAAGACTTATTCGTAATGAGCATCCAAAACAAAAAAGGCAGTCCCATCATGCACCTCTAACAGCTGCATTTAGAGCATTTAAATACTTTGAAGTCAGACCAATTCAGACATCCCAGACTTGTAAAGCAGCTACAGAGACCCTGACTCACTTCAAGCTATCATCCGTCTGTGGCTCTTCGTCTCTCCCGCACACAGCTCCTCATCTGGATCTGTGAAGCTGTAATTGTAGGGTTACATATACCTGTTACGCCCCTCTGACATATAAGAGCACACACATATGCAAAAACACATCTGTTCTGAGCGGCAGACATTGCTAGTCAAAGCACATGACATCAGCATTACTCACAGGCTAGCCGCGCGTGTGTGTGTGTGTGTGTGTGTGCGGTGAAGTCACTGCTGGTATCAGCTTGTAAGAATCATTACCTACCAGCAGCTTGGTTTCGCTGTACATTTGTCACTACATGTCTGGCCTTTACAGCAACACGTCCAAAGTCTGTCTCTATAGCCAATATAAACGTTACCCACAGTGTGTGTGTGTGTGTGTGTGTGTGTGTGAGAGAGAGTTCAGCTCGGGGGTAGTGGTATTTATTTTGGTTATTGAATTTGAGGAAAAGAGTCAGAGTGTTCCTGAGTGAACAGGAGGTGACTAGTCTGACTCACAGGAAGTAGGCTGTTGGCCTTCCACTGGGAGACAATTTCACGCAGCTTTTTTTCTCCCCTTCGGCGTTTTAGTCCCCGTCGCTGAGTGAAACAACAGCCGCGGAGCTAGCGACCCACACGCTGAAGACGTAAAGCTACCCGAACCCTTGCCTGCTTGCAAACGATACAAAGCAAACAGGCTAGCAGCTGTTAACTTTTCTTTTTGCGAGGATTAAGGCATTTTTACTGATGTTCCACTAAAACAAGTCCCCACCCGGCACTTCTTTGGAAGGAGCAGCCGTCGCTGCGTCCACAGCTTAGAGCGCTGCCCAAGACGACTGTGATTGGTTTACAGAACTTACCCCTACACCAGAATGATAATGGCTTCTGTCAGACCTTTCTCCAGCGCTAACGCTCTTTTCTGCTTGACACACATTCTTAAGTCGGTTAAGTCACAGGTTTGATCCCCTATGTACCCATAAACAAGACACCGAACCCCTACCTGAGCGTTCTTGACTACAGTGTTGAAGGGTTCTCGTATGTGAGGTTGAACAATACCTTTCAAATCCCTAATCGGATCCATTTGGGTTCAGCTTAAAAATAGCTTAAAGATTGAACTGAGATCATAGTTGTTGTTGGCCGAGTGGGCAGAAACGCAATCACCGGCGCGTGAATACAATGTGAGAGTGAGATGAGCAGCAGAAGATATTCAATGTCCACTTAAATCGTAAAGAGATCGTACAGAGTGCTTTTCCTTTTACTTCACCCGGTCTTGGCCCAACAGTCGCACACGGAGC